CTCCTTTGGAAGCTGGCATTGGTTTAGTGTTGGAACCAAACAAACCAGGAGTGGATCCTAGTGTAGCCACTTACTAGCTTTGTGATTGTGGGTAAGTCATGTTACCTCTAGGAGCCTTGGTGGAATAATCTGCTTTGTGATGGGAAAATAATACTTCCTTCATAAGCTTATTGTGAGAATTAAATGAGGAAACATGTGTAAAACACTTAGTACAATGCCTGGTATGTAATAAGTGCTGAAGAAATAACAACTGGCAGATGGAGTAACAGTAATCGATTCTCTCCTATCATAGGGTAGATGGGGCTGGTTATTCATTTGCCCCGAAGGTGGGGGTAGCAAGAAGAATATCATTATCTCTATTTTCAGATGAGAAAATAGAAACCAAGTGTAGCTGAGAACTGAGCTTAGATTGCAGAAGACAGAAACATTCACACCAGCCCAGAGGAGACACACTGGCAGACCAGGGCAGGGTGGGTGTGAGTTCTGGGGGAATGCCAGGCCATGGTGGAGTGGTCCTGGCAGCCCCTCCTGGCCTGGAAGACTTCACACAGGAGGGGCCTGGGGCCTCTTCATTCAGTCCCACCTTCCAAACTGGCAGTGGAGGCAGCACAGTGCAGGGGTCCCAGCTGCCCAGTGCCTGGACGAGGATATCTGACCTCCCATTCTGGAAAGCTCGGTGCCCAGTCAACCTTTCTTCAGCTGTTCTGCCCACTGATTAACCAGGAAATATGTTATTTGTTCTGAGCAGGGGAACAAGCTCTCCTGGGGAGAGGAATTTGGGGCTAGAGGTCCAGTCACTTCCAAGGAAGAAAAATCCCTGGAATTCTCTCAGGAGTCTGGGTCTCGGCAAAGGGAGCAGAAACGTGGTCCTTGTTTTGGGTCCTTATTTACCAAATTAGTTCAGGTTCTGGTAGCTCTCTGGCCACATGCATTTTTCCAATAGGACATGAGAAAGCAATTAGGTGGCTCTGGTGTCCAGCAGACTGCCATCCTAGCAGCAGACAGCCCTTGCAGTGCACGTGTCCTGGAAAACTTTCCCCACTGGAATCTTTTTATCAGTCTCTTGGGACTCTTTCTGCAGGGCTTTCCAGAGATGATTTCCCTCTGCAGACCCAAGAGATGGGTGAGTAGGCTTAACAGCATTCTGTGCCTCGTTAGGGAGGAAGCTGGGATCGGGGTAAGGAAGTGACACATGGTGAGTCAGGGGCCATGCTGGAAACAGCACCCCCCTTCTTTTACTGGGGAGGGAAGCAGGGCACAGAAAGCTCTAACTCCACATCCCCAAGGGATGGAACTGTGGGCAAGCAGGCAGGAAAGAGGGCATTGGGGGGTATGCAGTGGAGGCTCTTGGGTGGTGACAGCAGCAGAGATGGCTGGAAAAGGCACCTCTGCCATTGTGAGGAGGGCTACGGAGGCACAAACCCAAGGCTAAGGCAAGGTGGTGCAGGCTTAAAAGTTTGGGCTTAGGTGGGAAATGACCAAAGTTTGATCCTGCATCTGCTACTTAGCAGCTGTGTGATCTTGTGCAAGCCTGTAGCTATTCCCAGCCTCAGTTTCCTCCTTTGTATATGTAGAAGTCATAATGCCTCCTTTATTTAAAGGAGCCCATTTGTGTAGCATGTTTAGCATAGTGCTTGGACAATGGTAGGCTCTATAAATGTTGGTAGCCTAAAAAATGAAAAACAAACAAAAACTCAAGTGTTTATGGGATTGGGGATTCTGAAGAGCTGCATCAACAAATCCCAACAGTTACAGGGAAAGGGAGTGATGGGCAGTAGTGGGAGGCAGGCCAGGAGGATGGCATGGGGTGGGGAAGTAGATGTCAGTCTTCAGAGAAGATTTAAGCCAGGTTGTGGGGCCCCAGGAGAACAGGATGGGAATTGCCAAGGACCACTTGTACGCACCAAGGAGCGGGAGGGGCACCTCGTGGTGAGGGAAGTGTGTCTGCGTGAGGGTTTTGGCTGAGGCTGAGCAGTGGGAGGCTGAATGGGCGGCAGACTTCCAGAAGTGCAGACGGAGGAGACAGAGCAGTAATAATGACTTGGACACATGGGAGGAAAAAATAGCTCAGGGACAAAGATGATGCCAAGGTTTCTGGCCTTGGGAGGCTCATGGGGATCTGAGGTGAGCACTGGGGGGTAAAGAGGAGAGCTCCTGAAGGGACTGGACAGGTGGCGGGGAGAGGAAGGGTGCCCAGAACCAGAGCTAGGTGGATACACAGGACAAGGAGAGGGAAGTGTGGGGCTGAGGCTTTCCCGTAGCTGTGAAGGAGCAGTGTCTCAGGGTGAGAACTGAGCGTGCAGGGAATTGAGAAGGCATTAATCCCAAAATGTAAGCCACAAGATTCAAGGAGATCCATAGGGCCAGCCCTAAAGGCAGCAAGCACATGAACTTGGACCAGTAACTTCCACCAGGAACTCAGTTTTTCTCTCTTAAAATGAATTCAGCCCTCCTAACTTAATGGGATTATTCTGTCATTCATTCAGTTAGTCATCCATTGAACACATATTTCTTGGCTGTCTATTAGAGTCAAGAAATGTTTTAGGTTCCAGGGAAACAGTGGTGAGCCAGGCAGACAAGATATATGTTCCTTTAGAGCTCCATTGTGGCTTGGGAAGTCAGACAATGATTTTATAGGTTGTTGAACAGTATTTTTCTGTGGTCTTCAAATTTCTGTGGAGGCCACAAGTCTAGAAAAATAAGGTCTAAATGTTCTCATATTCCAAAGACAAGTACCAAACACCTTACTAAAGGCAGAACAGGTTCAACAGCTATCAAGCTACATTCGTCAATTCCAGAATATAAATGAAAGGGACCAAAGAAAGTCATTGCTATATAGAAATGTTGGCTGAGATTTCCCCTGAGGGCACTACCCAATGCAAACCAAGTGTAGGGGTTCCCAGTAGAACCAGTCAGAGAAATTGGGGACCTCCAAGAAGGGGAGATTAGCATGACACCCATAACACCCATAACTCTCCCTCCACTGATGCTGGCTGAGTTGCTGGAAGTTGCAAGCACCTCTATGCACCAAAGTACAGCAAGAAAGTTCTGGAGAAAATCCAACATACATCTTTAGGAATCAAAGATGTACACAAATGAGGAGACCTGTGTGCGCTTCCTGTCTGGAGAATTCTGATTGTGGATCCTGGCCCTATAGCAGGGTGAGGAGCGGCCAACTCGCCATTGGTTGGCTGGTCAGGACAGGCAAGCCCCCATAGGGGATAAAGGGGCCTGCAAGAGGTTGGCCAGAGAGTGCTTTGCTACAGCAATGCTGGGTGGAGGTCCTCCCAAGGATCCACAGACATGCTGGTGAAAGAGCCAGGGCTTGGCACCTGCCAGCCAAGGGCATCTGTCACATAGGTTTTCTTTAACTCCTGACATGGGGGTGCCAGAGCAGAAAAAGGAAGGTCAGAAAAACAGACCATACCCCACTCTCCCCACTGTAGGGTCTTTAGCCAGGGACAGGCCCATGGTGGGAGGGGAGGAGTTTTAAATTAGATGCAAGATTGAGTCCATTGGATGAGGGTTTGATTTGGACAGGACCAGACATTTTAGTGCCTGAAAATTGGTCTTAATTACAGAAATGAGACTGTTCTTGTGACTGGTAGGGATGGGCAGGCCAAGGATTCTGCTTGAGATGTCATTTAGGGTGGAGAAGAGAATTCACCTTCATGGGGTTGAAGGCAGTGAAGGGGAGAAAATACAACTGTTTGCTGATAAAGTCCCTCTCCAGGTTCAGCCCTTTCAAAAAGTCAGTTATACAGGTAAACCAATAGGACACTTTTAACTAGCGATTAGAGCAATGAGAGTGAATCAGGGTGATGTGTTAGAAAAGATGGCTGGGAGTTAGGGGACTGTGCTAGATTGGGGGTCAGGGATAGGCACTCCAGGAGGTGATATTTGAGCTGAGAGGGGAGTGATGAGGGCCTCAGCCTGTAAAACATCCCTGGAGGTGAGTGTTCCAGGGGGAGGGAAGTAAGTGGGCATTAACTTGGTCAAGAAGCAGAGAGGAGGCACGTGCAGCTGCCGTGTGGTGAGGGCTGGAGCAAGAGGTGGTCGATCAGAGTGGTGAGGGCTGGAGCAAGAGGTGGTCGAGCAGAGAGGGGGCCAGTCATGGAGAGTTTTGGGGGCCAAGGTCAGGCCTGTATTCCAACATCAGGTACTAGCTGCGCCGGCCCTTCAAGTCGTGTGGGAAATTGTAGACTGGGGCCCTCCTGCCTGCTCTGTCACTCTGCCTCTCTAGGAAACAGGAGGCTGCAGAAATGCACCCGGGGCAGTCATGGTTGCCAAACCTTCAGGCTTTAAGGCAAGGGACCGTGGATGTGAATGACAGTTGCTGGAGGTACTCAAATGGGTGGCAACTGGCATTCTTGAACCCTTGCCCCCCTCACTGCCGACACAAAATATGAGCACACGCAGAATCAGAGACTCATGGAATCTCCTTTCGAGAAATTCCCGAGGGAGGGAGGGAGGGGCTGAGTTGGGAGTCCAGGTAATGAACTTCTTTCTGAGCCCAAGACAGGAGGCCAGGATTTCATTCCCCTCTTGAACACACGCTGTCACCTTGAGTGACCTTATTCAAGATTCTGTATGTCTATGCCTCTGTGAAAACCAGGACATCTCTTCCAGGCTCCACCATCACCGCTTTAGGCCTAGGCTCGACCCCGACGCAATGGAAGAGCATTAAGATCAAGGAGCAAAGGCAGTTGGCAGCGGCAGGTCTCTCCAAAGGCTGGAGACGCGGCCAGCTCCACCAGAGGGCGCGCTCCCCCTAGGCAACCTTCCTGCGCTCACGCGTCTTGCGGTGGCGGAGGGAGGTCACTCGCCAGCGCGGCCAGGACGCCAGCCGGCACCTGGGACGGACGCCCCCGGTGGCCGGGGCAGGAAGCGAAGACTCCGGGTGCCGGTCCTTCGGGTCCTGTCTCTGTCACACCGTTCTTGGTACCTCTGCTGGCCTCTTTCAGACCTTCGAGGCTGCAGCTTTGGTCATCGAACGGGAGTTTATCCCTGAGGTTAGGGGCGGGAGATGAATTTGGGACAGGTCAACAGTTCGAGCTTGGCCGGAACAACAGAAAGGTGACTTCTGTGTCACTGTCCCGGCAGGCGTCATCTCTCCTACCAGCCCTCGGGTCAGCCCTGCGCCTCCCCCAGCTCCTCACGGGTTAACCCCCCTCGCAGCCTGCTCACTTCCCGGTGCCAAAGTGGGTGTTGCTGGAATTCCTCTCTCCCTCTCCCGTAATGAAGGGGCTGAGCTGTCCCTCCAAGGAGGGGGCATGGTGTGGATAAAAGAGACGAAAAAACAGGGGGAGGTTTCCAAAAATAAAACCCTCTGGTTCCCCTACAGCAGGCTACAGCGTCGGGGAGAAGGCGCGAAGGTGCAGCAGCAGTGCGCGCCCAGCTGGAGACGAAGCGCGGACGCCAGGCTCAGCGCGCGCTGCCCCGGCCGCTCAAGTCGCGGGCCCTCGCCCCGGGGAGAGCCATACCCGCAGTCTGTCGTGGGGCCCCCTAGACGCGGAGAAGCCGGACTCCACGAGGGGGCCGAGCGCAGCCGCAGCCGTCGAGGGCACTGAGTGCAAGCCCCGGGCTGTTCCGTGTGCGTACCTCTCTCCAGTGGCCCCGGGCACCATGAAGTCAAGGGCCACCGACCGCTGTCTCGGGAGCGCCCTGCGGAACCCCTGGAGGAGCTTCCTCCTGCTCACCCTGGCTCTCTTCGTGGGCATGGGTCATGCTCAGAGGGTCCCGGTGGGAAGATACGAGCCAGCTGGCAGGGACGCGAATCGGCTTCGGCGCCCCGGGGGCAGCCACCCTGCAGCAGCTGCAGCCAAGGTGTACAGTCTGTTCCAGGAGCAAGACGCGCCCATCCCGGGCTTGCAGCCCGCGAAGCGGGCCGAACCCGGCTTGGGGGGCCTCAGGAGGCCGGCCGACGCCGAGGCTAGGAGGCCGCCCCGCGCACAGCAGCTACGGCGAATCCAGCCACCTGCGCAGAACTGGAGAAGCAGTTCCCTGGGCCAGCAGCAGCCCGCACCCCGGGCCCGGGCCGCCCCAGCTCTCCCGCGCCTCGGGACCCTGCAGAGGCCCGGGGCTGCGCCCCCAACTCCGCCGCGAGGGAGGCTTACGGGGTGAGCACTGCAGAGGGAAATGTGGGATTGGGGGAGCGAGGGGCGGTCTCCTGTGTGCTCGTACGTGGAGGGAGGTACAGGCGGGAGGAAAGGGCGCTGGGCTGGTGCCGTCGTCCCTCCGGCCTTGGTGTTGCCTGGAAACAACACTGCCGGGCTCAGAGATCTCACCCGCTTTCCAAGAATTGAGGGGAAACAGAAGTACCATCTTCACCCTTTGTAGCAGAGACACGACGTTACATCTATTCCCAAGACGCCTCTGCACTCGCCTGCCTTCCTCCCGTACTTAGCTAACTGATGCGGACAGACGCCCGCAGCGCTGCCAGGATTAGAGAGGGATCCGGGAGAGGGCAGCGGGGTGGGCGTTCCAGACGCCTGAGGCCCAGGGGAGGCTGAGTGGGTGGAAGATGAGGGGCCCCCAGAATGCGAAGGCAGATGCATCTCCAGGAAGGGGGCTGGCAGTGAAGCCTGCGCGTGGAGACAAAGTGTACGGCTTGGGGCGCAGTACGACTTGGGCTCAAAGATGGGTGGACGTGGGAGTGGGCTTGGGCTCGGGGGCACCTTGGGTAGGAAGCCTGCCCCCAATGTGGCTGCGGCACAGTGCATAGGTGGGGTAATGGGTCCATTTGTGCGCCTGTACAGTTAGGGGTCAGCGCGACTCACGCACTATGCAGGGCGAAGTGTTACCCCAGCCTGGGATTTGCTGTTTTGCATCTCCCTAGGCACCCCTGCTGACCCCGGGGTCGCCCTTGCAGAGTGGGGAGGTTCCCTTGCACCACCCCCCACCCCCGGTAAGTGATCATCCTGGCTAAGGGGCGCTAGGCCTTGCCTGGGTATGGGCAGGTGTCCCCAGAATGGAGGGCACGGAAGCCCAGGGCACTGTGGGGCTGGGTGGGGGTACCATCGGGGAGGCTGGGAAAGGCTCTGGCAACCCTTTCTAGCCTGGGCCCGACATACCAGTTGGGTTTAGTCCCGGTGTGCAGCATAAAGGACACTTGTACCTCAGTCCCTACTCCCAAGGACGGGCAGCCTCACAACCTTTCCACTCGCTGTTTTCCTTGGCTGCAGTGCTTTTCCCATATTTCAGCAGGATTCCCTTACTTTATTCAGATCTCTGTTCAAAAAGGCCTTCTCTGACTACCCCTGCCCCACCCACCCTCTCCCTCTTTCACCCTGTTTTGTACTTCTTCATAGCGTTTATTCCCATCTGCCCTATTATATTTCTATTTCTGTTTTGGTTGGGCCTCCCAGACCACACCAGCATAAGTTCTATGAAAACAGAAGACTTGATTTGTTCATTGCTGTGTTACCAGTGCCCAGAACAGTGTCTGCATTTGGTTGATGCTTGTTCAGTATCCATTGACTGAGTAAATGAACTCCCTGCTGCCCATGGAAGGCCCAGAGTAAAGCAGGTGGAAAGTAGATCCATACATTGCCGATTACTTACACGTAGGCTCAGTCATTAAGTGTTAATGGAGCCCTGGACATGTTCCAGTTTTCTTCTTTCCTGACCTATGCAAGTGAATAGATGCTTCATTAAGAACAAGTGTGCAGAGCAGGGGATGGGGGATGGGAGCCCAGAGACAAAGGCATTGTTCTCTCTGGGAGAGCAACTCAATTACTTAAAGTTGAGTTGGAGAAATCAATCAGTATGTACCACTGAACATGCTTTCTAGTACCAGGAGCTTCATGTTAAGCACCAACAACTGGGACAGTTAACGCTGAAGAGCTCAGAGGAAGAGGAGGTCCTGTGAACAGGAATCCCTGGGGCTTGATGTAGGGAAGCAGAGGGTAACTGGCAGGAGTGGGGCCCAGAGGTGTAGCTCTGCCCGAGGACAAGGACTTTTCACAGTTGGCACTAGCCTAAGAGCATGACTGCACTCTGGTGTAGGGGAGCCATGGGGGCGAGGCTGGACGCATAGGTTGGACCAGATAATGGAGGAGCTTAAACTGCAGGCATTTAGGTGGGAGTTGGGGGAAGGTGGGATACTGGATGGTGGAGGTGGGAGGGTACACGGTTAGAAGTCTTGAAATGAGGTGGTGATGAGAAAAGCAGATTGTCACCACAGTAAGGCCGGTAGATGTGCACAGGTGTGTGTGGACATGGGCTGAGGGCCACCCATAGGTACCTGCTGTACACAGATGCACACATCACATCACATGTTGGGTCTGGCTCCTCTCCCAGATTATTTTCTGCAGTTTTGAGAAAGGGTGGGTTCCTCTGGCACTCCAGCCAGCCACTCCAAGTCAGCTGGGAAGGAGGTGGGTGGTGATCTTGTCAATCCCTTTTTTCTACTCAGGTCCTTTCTGCCTATTGGCTTCTGGCCCGGCTGACCTCTCTGGCAATTGCCTTCTGGGTTGCTCAGGGCCAAAGACTAAGTGCCACCTGCTGGCGATGTTTGGAATTGCATCATTACTACGGCGTTTTCTTCATTCAAGTATTTGGAAGGCCTCCTATGTGCCAGGCACTGTGCTGGACCATGGGGATACAGCAGTGGCCAAAGAGCCTCTGTTCTCATGGAACTTGATATGGAGTGGTGATTTATTGCACACATTGAAGGTTTATGAAGCGTGGGCCAGGCACAGTGCTAGGTGTCTGACGTAGAGCGTGACTAGAGTAGACCCAATTCCCATGCTACTGAAATTTACAGTCTACATGGGTCTTTTAAAGTCATCATTTCCCACTATTCAGTGTTTCTTGAACTAGCCTCACAGCGCATTACCTTCATAGTACTTCCCTCTATCTTTTGCCTCTTGTTCTATTATTTTTCTTTGAACTTATTTATTGTTACAACAACAGAATTTTGTGTTTTATCTATTTTATTTTACATTATGAAGTTTCATACAAACATGCAAGAAGCTATTGGAAATAATAAAACTAACAACCAAGCTTTTTCAACCTTAATATTTTGGCATATTTTCCTTCTGTTTTTTTTAAATTTCCTCTATAAATTTGTCTCTTTTTCTCCCCAGTTAGATACGACCCTGAATTTACTTATGATTCCAATATATGTTTTTATACTATTGCTACAGATGAATGCATCCACAAAATACACATTGTTTTGCATATTTTAAACTTAGATAAGTGATACCATACTGTGTTATCCTTCTGCAATTTGCTTTCTCTCTCTACATTAGATTTTTGTTATTTAGCCACATTAATATAATCAGACCAAGTTTACTCACTTTAACTGTTGTATATTATGCCATCATCTGAATATACCACAGTTTATTTATCCATTCTCCTGTTTGGGGACATTTAGAGTTACATCTTTCTGTTATTACAAACAGTGCTTGACTCAGTTTTCTACATAAATAAATTCATTTTCAAGAACCCTTCATATCACTATAATAAATTGAAAATAGAACCACTTGATCTGAAAGTCTGGAGTGTTCAAAGAAGAGGGGGAGGCAGTCTAGGCAGAGAGAGGAGTTTAAGCAAATGCATGGAAATGTGGCTGTGTATGGTGCAGTTGGGTGACAACAAACTGTATCATGGGAGGATCTCAGCCTTGGTGATGGAAGGTCATGAAGACAAGAGAGGAGTAATGGGGACAATTTGACTGCACAGGCAGGTGGGGGCCTGGTTGGCTTCACAGACACTAATGCAGAGCCATGGGAGGTTTTTAATAAAGGACTGGTATGATCTGATTTGTCCCAGGTAGAATAGCAGTTGCCCTGGCCTGTTAGCCAGATGTGTCTCCATGTTGAGCAATTATAGATATTGGGCTAATGTTTGTTGAGTGGTATCACCTGGAAGGTTGGGCTCATCTGCTCTCTGAGTAGTAACTTCTCAGGAGTCAGAACCACTGAGTCATGCCCTAGCTAGTCAGGCTCATTTGCTCTCTTTAGCTACTAGAGCCCACTGAATGGTTACCTCCCTGGGATCTACCCAAGACTTTAATATTGGCCTACCAAGGACCTTCAGAGGCACCCCCTGGATACCTGAATCCTTACGGAGTGCCTTCCCAGCCCCAGCTTGACCACCCCGCCTTGCAGCCTTTGGTTCTGACCAGTCCTCACTGTGGCCCTGAGGACCTGGAGCGTCCACCATGGGCAAGTAGGGCAGGACTGCTGCTGCTCTCTTCAGTCAGCTGCATAGCCATCCTGAGGGCATCTGGGGTGAAAGCTGGCTCAGGGGCTTCCTTGGGCTGGGCCGCATGTCGTGACCTCCCAGCCAAGCTCCCCTTGGTCTGGGCTATCCGGTTTCCCACAGACCCTAGTTCTTAGAAAACTCCCAGGGCATGCAGTCTGTTTCCTTTTAAAGAACTCTCAGGCCTGTAAGAGGCCTAGTCACCACCACAAAGAGTAGTGACTTACAAATGGGTGGGCAGTTTCCCCCTCCAGCAGAGCACACACTCAGAAACCCTGTGTGTGCAGACCAGCCCTTTCCCCAAAAGCCAGTGACTTGGTCCAGAGAGGCTCTGAGGTGGCCAGAATGGCATAGCTCTTGGCCTGGAGGACCTTCTGGAAGCTCCTTTGGAGGCAGCTCCCCGCAACTGTGGGCCAAAAGACCAAGAATGGGCCTCAGCTTTTCTAAGCTGCAGGAATTTGTTTTGAATATTTTGTAAGGCTCCAAAAACCACGCAAGCTTTGGGGTCCACTCAGATGTCAAACAAACCCTAGGTTGGACCAGACACTGGCTTGGCTGGCCACAGAGGTCACAGGAATGGCACCCTGTTTTGTCCTTCACCCTGACTATCCAACTCCTGACTCTGCCTCCCACTCACCCCATTTCGGTGAGAGCTCAGTAGACATTCCTGATGGTAATTATGGGGTCCGTGAAGCCAGCACCAGGCCCAGCCTGAGCCAAGGGGCCAGGGGCCCAGAGACCTTCTCCCAGAGTAGCCTCTCTGGGGAATCCACCCAGGTCCAGGCATTTGGGTCTCTACATGGAGAATTAGGGCTGGTGGAACCTTTTGATGTTCTGGGAACCTCACTGCCCACCTGAAAGCAAACTTTGGGTGAATTGAGTAAGCACCTCAGGGGTTACTGCAGGTCAGTGTCAGCACCAAGGAGTAGCTTCCAGCAGGACTATCCCCACAAAGTAAGTTCCGCTAGCCTGCTCAAATAAGAGTGTGCTCAGTATCCAGAGGCAGCTTACCCCAAGCCCTCAGCCCCACCTTCCTACCAGCTTACTACCTCATAAGCCCCTCTTAACTAGAAATCCCATATCCCTGGTTCCTTCCATCTGCCACTCAGAGCTTACCGTGCACCAGCCTGCCTGGGGGCTAAGGCTCCTGCCAGGGTGCATCTGTTGACAGGTGATGCATCTGCATGTCCTTAAGACTGTTTCCTGGGTGTCTTCCAGCTTCCCTTGGGTTGTCGGCACTTGTTGGGCAAAGACCATGGTGGATTTTTTTAGTGAAAGGCAACGTAGGGTTGGAGCATGACTCAGAGTTGGGCTAACTCAGGCTGGAATCCAGCTCTGGCACTTACTGTGTGGCCTTGGCAAGTGACCAAACCTCTCTGAACTTGCTTTTTGATCGTCTTTATGATCACTGTCATTACTGTCCAAATGGAATGCTCACTTTGTGTCAGGTACTCTATATCCCTATCTCATTTAATCATTACGACCCTATCAGACAGGTATTGTTATTTCCATTGCACAGGTGGAGAGAGTGAGGTCTCCCAAGGTCACTCAGAGAGTGGCAGAGTCAGGATTCAATGTCAAGACCTTCTCCCAGAGTAGCCTCTCTGGGGAATCCACCCAGGTCCAGGCATTTGGGTCTCTACATGGAGAATTAGGGCTGGTGGAACCTTTTGATGTTCTGGGAACCTCACTGCCCACCTGAAAGCAAACTTTGGGTGAATTGAGTAAGCACCTCAGGGGTTACTGCAGGTCAGTGTCAGCACCAAGGAGTAGCTTCCAGCAGGACTATCCCCACAAAGTAAGTTCCGCTAGCCTGCTCAAATAAGAGTGTGCTCAGTATCCAGAGGCAGCTTACCCCAAGCCCTCAGCCCCACCTTCCTACCAGCTTACTACCTCATAAGCCCCTCTTAACTAGAAATCCCATATCCCTGGTTCCTTCCATCTGCCACTCAGAGCTTACCGTGCACCAGCCTGCCTGGGGGCTAAGGCTCCTGCCAGGGTGCATCTGTTGACAGGTGATGCATCTGCATGTCCTTAAGACTGTTTCCTGGGTGTCTTCCAGCTTCCCTTGGGTTGTCGGCACTTGTTGGGCAAAGACCATGGTGGATTTTTTTAGTGAAAGGCAACGTAGGGTTGGAGCATGACTCAGAGTTGGGCTAACTCAGGCTGGAATCCAGCTCTGGCACTTACTGTGTGGCCTTGGCAAGTGACCAAACCTCTCTGAACTTGCTTTTTGATCGTCTTTATGATCACTGTCATTACTGTCCAAATGGAATGCTCACTTTGTGTCAGGTACTCTATATCCCTATCTCATTTAATCATTACGACCCTATCAGACAGGTATTGTTATTTCCATTGCACAGGTGGAGAGAGTGAGGTCTCCCAAGGTCACTCAGAGAGTGGCAGAGTCAGGATTCAATGTCAGCTCTGCAGGATCCCAACGTGCAGGCCCTGGCTGTAGAGGGTAAGATCCTCAGAGGGGCTCCATGAAGAGTCCCGCTCTGAGCACCCTTGTGCTGACCCTCTTCTGCTGACCCCACAGGAGGAATGTCTGCGGGGGACAATGCTGTCCGGGATGGACAACAGCAAATAGCACCAACCACTGTATCAAACGTGAGTGCCTCCACCCCATCCACCCTTCTCCCCTCTCCTGGAGATGGGCCTGGTGTGGGAACTCCAGAAGCATCTTTCCCAATCTGCCTTCTGAGGATGCAGCCCCTTTCCAGAGTAGAGGCAAAGCGCAGGGTAAGGAAGGAGATCGAAAAATGCCTCCAGCTGAAAGCAGCTTCTCAAATGACACCCCCATGCCAGTTGCTAAAGCTTCCTGCCTTCCCATCCTGCCGCCCTGCTGTGTCGGTGGCTCGCTCTCCCTGCCCGCCGGATCCTTTAGATGCCCACCTGACCCTGTGATCTGCAGAACATGCCTGGCCCCAGAGGCCTTGTATTGCCCATGTCCAGGGGCACCCTGCCCACTGTGTGCCATGGGCATCCACCTTTGTTCTGGCCCCTGGCCCTGCCTGCCTTGGCCTCTTGCAGGCATCCTGCCAGGATGGTCAGATGAGGCTCTGATTCTGTGTGTGGAGTGGTCTTCCTTTGGACTGCGCTGAGCCTGGCAGGCAGGCCCAGAATAGAGAAAAGAGACAACAGTCATTTTAGCTATGCGGAAACTAGGAAGTGAGGTGGGAGAGTGGGGGGGCGGGGCTCTATGCCCAAGCCTCTGCTGATGGCATAGGAGGCAGTGACAGCAAGGACAGGAGCCAGTACCTACGCAGCACTCACTATGCAAGGTGCACTTCATGTACCTTATGAGGCAGGTAGTACCACTGCCCATTGGGCAGATGAGGAAACTGAGTCACAGACAGGGCATTGCTCAAGGCCTGGAAATGGCATGATTTGAACTCAAGGTCCCTCTTCTTAATCACTACACACTGCTGCCAGATATCTTACCTTATCTTTTGGGCCTCAGTTTCTACAGCTGTGAGCTGGGGATGCAGAATACTACTACATCTACTACTGCCTCTGCCCCTAGCCGACAGCCGAGTATTTACTATGTGCCTAAAGCTTGCTGGGCTCTTCACATACTTATCTTTGCCAGGCCTCTCAATATTCCTATAAATGGAGTATTTACTGATCATCCCACTTACAGACAAGGAAACTGAGGCTCAGGTCGGTTAAGTAACATGGCCAAGAGGACACTCACTACCCATGTGCTGGAGCCAGGGCTAGATCTAGGCAGTCTGACTGCAGAACTGGTATTCTTATCTGCCTGACTTTGTTCCCACCCAACACCAGCTGAGGCTGGGGCCTTCTGGACTTTGGAATCCCTACCGATGGTAGCAGATATGGGGGTTTGATGAAGTCCCTTGGATCTTTCTCCCTCTCTTCCGAGGGCCCCTGTTGAGCCCTCATCAGCCCCTCAGGTCTTTAAGGCAGCTCCAGAAGCTCCATCCATCCTACTGACCCTCCTGGAGCTGCCACTACCTGCTGCCAGGCCCAGGGCCCAGCTTCAAAGCCTCCCCCTTACCAGCACCCTTTGCTGCTCAAGGACAAGACCCCAGGTCCTTTTCAGGGTGAGGGTTTCCCAGCTAATTGTCCAGGTGCCTGACACAACCTGCGGTGTTCCTGGCCCTGATGGTTGCCCTCACCTCTGCTTCTGATGCCTCACAAGATGAGGATGAGTGGCAACAAGGCAGGGATGCTTTCATTTTTGTGGGGAAAGGGATGCTGTCTCACCAGGCTCTTGGTTTTGCCTCAGACCTCGTGGCCCTGACCCTCTCCCAGCCTGACAATGAAACTCAGGCCGAATCTTGGGTTTCCAGATAAAGACACTAAAATTCCAAACTCAAAAACAAACATCAAGTCAGACTTTCTCCTGAGCATTTTTCCTTTACAGGGAACCTGGATTAGTCAGCACTCTCAGAAGACAAGCCCCCTGTGGCTGGGGCTGAGTTGTGGGAGGGACACTTGTCCTTCATGATTTTAAAGATGAAGACAGTGAGCTTTGGGTGACTTGCCCAAGGTCACCCAGCTCATTAGAGATCTGGGATTCAAAATCAGCAACTCACCTGGGCAGAAAAGCCAGGGATGTGAGCAGTCAGGTGATTTTATGCTCAGCAGATGCTCTGGGGCTGGGAGATGGGGCCTGGGCATGGGTGTGTTTTTAAAGCACCCTGTGATTCTAGCCAGGGCTGAAGACCACTAAGCTGAGTTTGGGTCTATCATAGGAAAATCTGCCTTGGGGGCCCTACTCAAATGCTCCCACGAATCCTCTGGGGTCTTATAAAGGGCAGATTCTGATTCAGCAGGTCTGGGGCAGGGTTGCAGTCTGTGTTTTGAACAAGCTCCCAGGGGAAGCTGGCACAGCTGGTTCGGGGACCACACTTTGAAAAGCAGGGCCTTGGAGGACTTAGGAGGCCTGGGGAGGGACATGGGGTTGGAAAAATGGTGGAGGGTTGGTATATTCTAGCAAGCTTAGCAGAGAGCATTTCTGAGGTTTGAGCTGAAGCTGGAGCAGGGTGGCTTCAGAGGGGTTGGACTTCTCACCATCTGCCTGAGGGGCTGAGCATGGGCTTTGCTCTGGCTCTCCAATCCTGGAGGTGCTCAATTTCCTAACTTGCTCATGACTTTCTAGCATTCATCTCTGCCAAACTGGAGTTTCAACACTGGAAACTCGAGGTTGGGTGACTCTGCAGATTGTCAGAACTGATGTGCGTGCATCCTTGTGCCCCAGCTGGGGGCTGCTCTAGCATGCTGACAAACCCCGCTCCAGTCTGGGGTCCTCAGCCCCGTATTTTCTCTCCTGCCCTCACCCTGCTGCCCCCTGGGTCACCCACCCACCCTGGCCTGCAGGCGGCCAGCTGTTCTGGAGGAACTGCCAGTGGGTATTAGTCTCTCCCACTAAAGTCAGCTTGCCCACTGAAGCTCTGTGTGCTAATTAGCTGGGCCTTGTGCTGTTTGCTTGTTGCTATTTTGCTGCTAAAGAGTCTAACAAGAACCAGGTGGGCTGTGGGGTGTTGCCCCGGATGGCTGGGTCTGGAGCTCTGTAGAATGTGGGGCTCTTGGCTCCACACCCTGTCAGCTGGCTCTCCTGCTTTGCCCAGTGGTCCCCGTTTCCCTCATCCCTCCCCGCCGCTGCCCTCCAGGCTGGAGCTGAGGCTGCCAAGGCTGTGAGTGCTCATAACGCTGTCATGGCATTTTCACATACGTGGGATGCCCCCTTGGCCAGCAGGAGAAGGGGGCTGACAAGGAGGGGTGTTTGATATCCCTCCACTTCCAAGAATGAAGTCTAGTCCCAGAATTGTGTGGAGACTCAGTATCTCCCAGATATCTGTGAATTCAACCCACTGCCCATGGCAGGGAGTGATGGCCCTTGTCCCCTGGGCCATCTCTAGGCCCCCTTACCTCTACGCACAGATTCCTAGGTTGCTGTAACATACCAGCCCGTCTGCCTGGCAAACCGCTTCCTTCCTTCCTGCCCAGTCACGGGACCTCAGGGAGCTACTGTGCCTGCAGGTGGCCTTTGCTGGAACCACAGCTCCTCCCTCCACCTCGGCAGGGTCCAGAGCTGGGTGCTTGTCTCCTCCTCTGATCTCGGTGCCTGCTGTACCTTCTGTGGTTTGCCGGCTCTGCCGTGCAATTTATGTGTTTATGTATTTATGGAGGCAGCTGACAGAGGCTTGACTGATGTCTTTCATGAGCAGAAGGACTGCAGGGTATAAGACAATTGGACCCTGTTTATAGTCAGGGCTTTTGGAATCCCTACTGCCACCCCAAAACACACACAGGTTATAGGGGCTTCTGAAGGCTCACACTGGGGAAGAGGATTTGAAGAATTCTTTGAATTCTCATTTTATCTCAGCCTAAAATGCACAGGGGCTGGGACTGTTCTGGGGAGAGCAGAAGAGTCTCTGCAGCAATTAGGGGCCGGCCATCCACCTTTCCACCCCAGGCAGTGAGGCTTAAGGTTAAGAGATGTGCTTTGCCTTCTGGTTCCTGATGCAAGGAGCTATGGCCTCAAATCCCAGCCCTGTGCCCACAGGCAAGTGACTGAGCATTACAGCCTTCTAGCCATAGAGCCTAAAATGGGTTTAACAATCTATATAGTGTTGCTTTTGAGGATTAATAATAACAACAGTCTGTTATTATTATAGCTATTACTGTGGGTCAGATACTATTCAAGGGACTTAATATTAACTTTTAGTCCTCACAACAACCCCATAGGCTAGATTTGATCTTTATCCCCATTTAGCCAAGTCATGCAAGTGGGAATCAGCAGAGCCTGGATGTAAATCCAGGTATCCCGGCTCCAGAGTACGGGGCTGAATGCTATGCTCAAATGTGGGTAGAGAGCCTGGCACATGGTAAGTTCAGCTGTTATTTTAATCTAGATGCAGGAGATTTTGCTGACTGCCTGAATTTAAATGCAAGCTCCTCCACTTACCTGTATGACCACCGGCAAGAGGCTTAGCCAATCTGTGCCTCAGTTTCCTCCTCTGTAAATGTGACTAATATCAGTCTCTGCATCACAGAGCTGTGAGAAGCAAATGAGATCACTTGGGTTAAATGTTTCGTTCAAGGCTTGGCATGTTTTCTGTGCTCTATACATGTCTCTGTGCCTTGATGTTGAGGGCGGGGACTGTCTCACAGCCCTCAGCATGCCACATGGTGGCAGGTGTTCATGGGACACAAGGTAAAGGTTCAGTAAACATGTACTGAGTGACACAGGGCCCATTCTCTTCTGCTGACCCAGTTCTATCAGCCCAGCCGGAAAACTCTCCGTGAGATCCTCAGAAGATCCTCGAGTAGGCCTGGGGATCTGCTCCCCGCCTTCTCCGTCCAGAGCCTCTGCATACATGCTGGCTTTCAATCACAGGGCTCCAAGAACCCTGTCCTTCCTGATCTGGGTCCTTCCTTGGATTCTCTGAGGAAGCTTACCTGGCCCAACCCATCCCAGCCCTGTAACGACCCCATCCCACAGGGCAAGACTATGGCCAGGTGGGTAAGAGCCCAACTTTGGAGCCAACTCCTAGGTTCAAACCCTTCCTCTATCACTTCCTAGCATGGTGATCTCAGGCAAGCTGCTTGACTGTCTCAGCTTCAGTTTCTCCATATGT